ATTTCCCTACGGAGCAGAAACCTGGAGTATTACAGAGAGGGTTCAACTTAAGTTGAGGAGGACGCAATGAGCAATGGAAAGGAAAATGATAGATGTACATAAACCTAAGGCACAAGAGCAGAGCGTATCAGGGCACAAACGAATGTTAAGGACATCATAGTCGAAATCGAGAAGAAATGGTCTAGGGCAAGACACGTAGCGCGAAGGCAAGGTAATCGCGGGTCATTGAGGATCACAGACTGGATTACAAGAGTAAGCAAGCGGGTGAAGGGGGGACAAAAAGTTAGGTGGGCAGATGAGATTAGGAAGTTCGCGGGTAGGAAGTGGCAGCGACAAGCACAGGACCGAGTTGTCTGGTTGAGCATGCGAGAGGCTTTTGTCATGCAGTGAGTGTAGTCTGGCTGGTGACGACGATGTACACGAATGCATACAAACACATGCACGAAGATACGCAAAGTGGTTGAACCACGAAAAAATTCTGTCTCTATGCCTCTGACAGGGCCAATACATCGACTGCTAAGAACATGGCTTCTGCTTTCTAGCTGGCTGAGACGAATGCATAAAGGGCTTTGCGCTTTTTTAGGAGCCAAGCTCCTTAGGGTCGAGCCATGTCCCGTGTCCGTCGGCGTGACACGCTGTGAATATTCATATCAGTGTGGATATTTATATCCATATGAGCAGTCATATGAATACATATATGGATATCATATGCATGCTTACATCCACGTGAGAATGTATATAAACATGGATGTCCACATGGATATCCGTATGAATATGTATGTGTACATTTCAAAACCATATGGCCATTGTGAATAATAAACAAAATTGTGCGTACTGCACAGACTTGTTCTCTAGTCTGCATTATGGAGTGGGCAAAGTACGGGGGTTAATGAACCCCCGGAGCTTCGCCCATTGAATGTTTTTCTAACTCTTACAAACGCGAACGTCAAAAATTAAAACGAATGCGGCTGTTCAGCTTTTCTCTAACGTCCTTGTGAATATTTGCCTGCATTTTGAATGTCTATGTGTATATTCTTACTGGACGCTTTTTCCTGGCTCGAAAATGGTTTTCTGAAAACAACATACACTTGTGATTTCTAAAACTAATTTTTTTCCTCGCGAAACTCTTCAACCCGACGTAACAATACTCACTACATAAGTAACGTTTTATGAACGAGTCATAAAGCTTTAACACTGGCCCTAATCACCACACACATTAGTAAAGTGAGCGAAGAAACGCGAGAACTACTCGCTCTCGTAATGCATTCGTACTCGAGGGGCTTGGGATAACACCGCATAACAAAAAAATGTTAAGAAAAAAGAACGGTGTTCCTCTAACGTCTTTTTGCTGCTAATACGTAGCCATATATAAGTCAAACCCGTGTTGCGCCATCCACCTGCCCAAATCTAAGCGCAGATTACGCATGCTATAAGTTCCCGTACATACTCCGTCGTGGAAGTTTCGATCCGTACCTCCAACGCGTTTCTTCATACGCCTGTGAGCACGAAATGCTCTAAGCTTCTGCATGTCATTACCTGACTGCACTTTACCTTATGCAATGTACATAGTGTATACCTGTAGTGACGCAACGCAGCGGTGAGGTTCGTCTCTGGGCTTGTGAGATAACTCGGAGGGGCGTGCGTATGGCGTGCGCGTGTGTGTATTTGTATATCTTTGTATGTGTAGATGCGTGTATGTGCGTGCGTATGTTTCCGAGCACTTTCGTTATCGCGTCAGCCAGCAATGCGCTGCGTGCTGTTTGAGTATGTACATGCATATTGCGCGGTTGGCCGCCGTCTGCGATCTCTCGGACGCCCTTGAAAACCACGCCGAGGCTGTCTCGGAAAGCGGGAACGCAAATCACCCGCTAGGACCGAATCCGATTTCGTCTTCAACGTCTGGCTGCGCGAACTTGGGCACATTACTAAAGCAGAATTCAGATGTAGTCGGGTGGAGGTGTATTTCGGTAGCTGCACCGCGGGAGAGCTCCAGAGGGGACCAGCATGAATGATGGACTATAGGTTGATGGGAACGATGGACTGGCAGGAGACGCTGAAGAATGGGGAAATCCGAGAAAATTGTGCTGTGAAACTGCTGGCGGCGTGAACAGGCAAATAACTGGGCAAAGTGCAGATTATCGCACAGAACAGATGACTGGTTTACAGCATTGCTCTGTGCAGCCTTGTAAAAAGTTGAACTGCTCCACCAAGGCCAAGCATTGCAAGGAGAGTACAATACCCCCCCCCCCCTAAAAAAAAACAGAAAAAATGTACCTATGCTACAGCCAGTGCCTGTTTTTTTTTATTAAATTTTTGGCGTGGTTATGCTAGACCATGCCGATTAGCTTAAAATACAATACCGTGCTTTCACGAAAGCGTCACATTTGTGAAGTAACATTTTGCTGGCCTAATTAGCACAAAATTAAACTACAAATTGTCGCACAGTCATGGAGGACAACTGTACGCGAGTATTAATATTGTGACACTTTTCCCGTTCTCCATGTACACACGTAACATTCTTCATCCTTTTTTGAGCTTCAAGGGGCCGTGCAACACTTTTTCAATTAACCATCAAATGGCTTTATTAAAGAAGTTCATTGACTTGCGAATCGACAGAAGCCAAAACTTTCAGTATCCGTCAAGTACTAGCGGAGTTACAGAGATTTGTCGCACCCTGTAATCGCTTTTATTTTCTTCCCTCGTCCCATTGAGCGTGCTGGAAGCTAACCTAAGAAAGGTGTGGCAGGCAGTATGGGAGTTCCGTCACGCGCGAGTCTTAAGCTTGAGCACTTTTTCAAGTTTTGCACGCGCTTAAGCACGTGGTGACCTCTCACGTCGGTCGCGTTAACTGTACAGCACGCAATGCCCAAATCAGGCGATGGGTGTGAAGTTTGAGTGTATGGCTTGGCCATTTGGCGGGGTGACATCATTAGTTGAGAGAAGAGGTAAAATGCTATAGCTGACTTGGAGAAATAATTCTGAATACCAGGACACGTTGCTGCGCTATATAATGTTTGGCCCGTGCGTTTTTAGAAACCTCAAATATCGATCTACAGCGTTTTGTGACCACGCTGTAGAAGTGTTGCAGGACCCCTTTAAAGATTGTTTTGACTGTGCACCATCTTACCAAGGGCGGACTTGTTGGACTGTAGCGATCGAATTTCCGCTTGGCTGGTACAGTGGTCCCGGCGCTCAGATGCCGCCCTCATGGTCTTGGGTACGATCCCGGTAGCGTGGCCTCATTTTGGTGGAGGTCAAAAGCTCAACACTCGTGTACTGTGCGATACGAGAGCAATGCAATGTAAAGAATAGCAGGTGGTCGAAACTCCCGGAGCCTTTCACCATGGCACTCCTCATGGCCATACAGTGGTCTTGGCGTATAAATCTTCAAATAGTTACTATGATGCTCAAATAAAGCAGCGTTTCATGGTGTGCAAATTGAGCAAAGTGCTGCTTAGTATAGCGTACACGGTACAAAAGATTATGCGCGGCGCACATAATCTTTTTGTTCACTTATAACGCTCGCAACGAGTACTTACGCCTTAATTATATGGGCTTGCTGACCCTTTCAAAGGATGATGTATAATCATAGGAGCAGTCTTCTTTTGTTTGCGTACGTGCCTCGCCTTTGCTTTGCGCGGCGCGTTATCTTGAAACGCTGACCCGCAAGCAACGCCCTCTTGCTTTTTTGCTGGGGTATTCTAATTATCCTGCATTTTTCCCCCTAATGCTACGATTTATTCCCCTTTAGTGCAAGTTGTCTCGCACTTTTTATTTCTGTTGCTCATTGCACTCGATGTGAATGTTTATGTTGTATTCGTTTTCGTGCAGTGCTGTCGCTTTTATTTTCATTTTTTTACATTCTGGTTGGATTGATGCTAATTGGTTTTTTGTTTTTGTTTATTTCCTTATCCCACCCCTTTTAATTTGCCCTCTCCCACTCACTTCCTTTTACTCCGCCATCTTTCTTTTTGGCTGCCTGCCGACCTCTCTTCTTCGTACCCTATTCTTCACGCTCATTAAACCATCCTCCTTTCTTACCTTCCTTAATCTTCGTGCTTCTTGACGCTACTCGAATGGACTCATCTGCGTGAGACGGTTTTTCTTCCCCTTATGTTCTTGCTATGCAAACGTCAAATCTTACGCCTTGTTACCACCTCCACCTTTACCATTCACCCTAATTCGATGTGCTCATGCATATCTGCATTCATTTTCTCGTCTGTCATTCGATTCACTTGATCTCACCTCTACCCTGCTATCTTGTTCGTGCTTATCTTCAACGAACATTTTCACTAATACTCTTTGCTCCTTGTATGCTTTCACTGCATCTATCTATCTATCTATCTATCTATCTATCTATCTATCTATCTATCTATCTATCTATCTATCTATCTATCTATCTATCTATCTATCTATCTATCTATCTATCTATCTATCTATCTATCTATCTATCTATCTATCTATCTATCTATCTGTCTGTCTGTCTGTCTGTCTATCTATCTATCTATCTATCTATCTATCTATCTATCTATCTATCTATCTATCTATCTATCTATCTATCTATTTATCTATCTATCTATCTATCTATCTATCTATCTATCTATCTATCTATCTATCTATCTATCTGTCTATCTATCTATCTATCTATCTATCTATCTATCTATCTATCTGATCCTATCAACTTGAATCTGTCGATCCGCGTTTCATGTCAACTGCCTTCCCTCTCTTAATTTTGTCTGCCAACCTTCCTTTACTCGTGTGGCCTTTGCCTTTTCTATGGCCTTCCTCCTTTCTTCCCTCTCCTCTTCCCTTCCCACACGTTTTTCACATCCATCTCACGCTTGGCACGCCATCGCAACGACCCCTGCTGGTGTGAACGCTGCAACCCGCTCAACCCCTGGCATGCAACCAACACCCGCTGTGCTCGGCTCCTCGCCCTCTCTGCTCGCTGGTGCAATTTGTGCATTGGGATCTGAAACCGAAAATTCTGACCCATATAGCAACGACAGCACGACGACTCTGGTCGCCACGAGTACGAACCAGCTGTATTCGCCAAGGAACTGGTGAGTGTGACTACTATATGCCGTAATTATGCTTTGCTGTACTTCAGCATAGGCATTTGCATGTTTGGAGAATTAATAATCAGTGTAAAAACAAAGCAGTAATATATTATATACTTTTCAATCCTAATCTTAGCTGCGTGGGCTAATTGTTATGCATTCACAAATAAGTTGGCGAAATTTTACGGCATTCGGTCCCACACCTAATTTACAAATAAACATATTTCCAACCACGCCAGTGGCCCGAGAGTAGGGCCACACTGTTGCATTCGCAAGTCGTGACTTAACAAGTGGTTGGCTGCGTCAGCGTCTGCATACTGGCAAACGATATTTTTCCGAGGTCAGCTGCGCGTGAAATGGAGATATTTGAGCTTTTTTTTGCTTTAGCACTGAAATGGACCGATTTGTAGCGTCTGCAATTGCAGAAGATGGCGGCACCACACCTTGCGGCACGTGACGTCACAGGCGTCATGGCGAAATGGTGGTCGCCGGTGGTGGGCGTGGTTTACAGCCAACGATTTCTTCGGCCTGTTTTCGAATTAAGTATTTTTTACGGCCCACTTTTCATATCTGTGTGAGCATACTAGACCCGCTACTTCTAGTTCCCGCTGAAAAGCACAAATTGTTGGGTCACAGTGTCGTGTCCCCTTTAACCCGAAACTTGACATGAGAAACACCTGCATTGTCTCATTTTGCCCCCATCGTATACTATGGACACTCCCGCCTAATATCTAACTCGCGTCCTCGAGTTGAGCGAAGCAACGTCTCATCTGTCAGGCCGTTGCGGCGGGGGAAAACAGAATCCAGTATATACACGAATGCCAAGAGATTCATCCCGATCGATGTCATACACTCTCGCCGCGACAACCCCACTCGGAACAGGTCTAGCTCTCTCGCGGTAGAACGCAAAAGCCACCAGATTTTCAGCATCAGGTGTATGTAGGCGCCCGTATCATAGGTAACGCGATAGAAGGGCCTTCGGGGTGTAGTATGACTGAACCAAGGACCGAACCGGCAGTTCGGGACGCGAACGCAAATGCGTAGGGACGGTGGTGTATACGTAAGCGATACGGGCGCTGCGCAAGACGGACCGACGTGCATCCAATCTCGCTTCCGCACCGTCGGTGCTTTTGCGAGCCGAGAAGCAACAGAAATTTCCAAGTATCGAGCCGAAGGGGGAGAGGAGGTTTTCGTGCGACACGCGTATGGCCCAGCCGCCCACACCCCCTCGTTTTCCCTTCGTCCCACGCAATGACGCTTGTTGCAGTTCCCTCGGGGACGGCGGCCACTTTCACTTAACTCCTCCCCACCCTTCTGCAGCTGGTTGGGCTGATATGTCGGCGCTCCTGTTACTGACGTCGCTGTGTGGTGGCTACGGGTCGATACCGACTCGTGCTTAGTAATTAGACGCGGGCCCGTGGGCCAGGACTCGTCGGGTCTGTGCACGGACAGCTCGTCCGGGATGGCCGACGTTTTCTTCGTCTCTGTAGCGCTCCTGCTGAGTCCAGGCAGCCTATGTAATAACCGGGCGTTCCTACTGGGTGTTACAAAGGACGGGTATGCAGTCAAGAGCCTATACTAAACAATACTCGCTTCATTGGGAGTTTCCTGTGCTGAGGTAAATATCGTCCACCTGAATTACAGACAGTTCGGGATGGGATGTTTGCGTCACCGAAAAAGAAATCGACCACTTGGGGTGCCATTGCCTCCAATTGGCTGGAAGGGACAAGTGCATTCCAACGTACCGCGACACTGGATGATCGGCCCCTTTTCATACAGGTACTATTGAAAACGCCGTCCTAGTCTCTCGGCGGCCCACAAGGCAGTGATGGTACTCTGGGCTCTTTGACGACGACGAGCGCTTGCGAATGCCTCTGACTTGCAGTGCATTGCCGCACACGTCAGCGAATTCGACGCTTTTGCCTCCCTGTGCTGCCCTCTCTCATCTTTCTATTTCTTATTCTAGTGTGGGGTATACACAAGCGTGAGCTTTTCTAATCAACCTCCCCGCCATTTTTTATTTTCTCATTCCTTCCTTCTGGTTGAGTGAAGAACGTCGCTGGAGTGAAAGTTTCCACATGTGGGCTTGTCCCCCTGAAGACAGCCATGACATGAGCCTATATACTTGTGAAAACATTGCCTCCAGCGGCACTCGTTCTTCTACGATTTTTCATTACGCCAAGCCTTCATCATATCCTCAACTCCTGCTCTGTTTAGATTAAGTAAGTTACTTACGTAGAGATCTGAGACGAGCTTAGTCGTGAGGCTGCCAGCAATATTACGCTGTCTTACCGAGGGACTCTCCTTTACAGTACTGTCCGGACTCTCTTACGTCGCAGGATGCTGCGGCTCTCGAATGTGTCGTCTGAGCTTCGCTTGGATGACACGTATAAGTTTCTCCAAGCACCTCTGGGACGCGTGTGCAGTGACGTCTCTAGATTAAATGAAGTTGTTTCATTTGGGGACCTTAGCCTGCATCGTCTCTCCACTCCAATGAAAGCACTAGCGCCACAGTTTGTCGAGGAAGTTGAAGACGTTGTTCCACAGCCCGCAAATAGAACAGCTTTAGGCACATGAGCTTTAAAGGGGCCCTATTACCCAAAGGGTCCTGCTGTAATCGAGAACAAGTGCTTAGCCAACTTCTCGCATTATTCAGTTCACTGTCTGACCCACACCACTGTGTCTACAGGGTATCGTGCTTGACTGCTGACTTGAAGGTCGCGGGATTGAATCGCGGTTTGGCCGGCCGCATTTCGATGGAATCAAAGTGTTAAAGACCCTTCGTGTCTAAATTTGGGTGCTCGTTAAGAAACACCAGGTGGTCGAAGTTTTCGAAACGCTCCACTTCGGCGTCTTTCACATTCGTAATATGGTTTTGGGACGTAAAACTCTAACAAATATTTCCAGAAATGTCACAATTTCGTAACATCATGTAAAACTCGAAATTCCTGGCAGGAACATCTTGTTACCTAACAGATAATCCGAATCGGTTAGAACAGTTATGCGATATTTCAGGTGAAGCTCGTGATAATGGTTCCTAAATTATTTGGCGTTCACGAATGCAATATGTGCATAATCTTGGGCAAACTTTCGACACTCCTGAGTCAGCAAAAAAAAAAGGAAAAATTTCAGCGCAACTTCTCATACAGCGCTTCATGAAGTACGCCGCTATGTGTTCTTGCCAACTCTCCCCTGCAACGTGGTTGGACTGTACGTCGTCCTGCTGGCGTCACGGGCTTTTTAACGACCTGTGCCCTCGTGTTGCCAGGTGCCTCTTCCTGCGTTTTCTTTGTTTTGTCTGCTTTTTATTACGTTTTATGTCTCTCCCACCGTATCACAAGTCCCCCGAGAATTAACGCACCGCGTCCCTCCAGGCTCATCGGTGTTCTTCAAATTGAAAATGGTACACCTGCGGATCCTTTCCCACAAGCGTAGGTTGCTAGTCGGCGCGCCACCTTGCGGCGCGGCGCAATTAAACCGTCGCCTATGCGCGCGAGTGCACGGATACGTTCAGGGAAGCTCCCCAGGATGAAACAACAAGAGCAACGTCAACGAAACGGAAAAATAGCTGGGCACGCACAACCTGGCACAGTTTCACTGCAGGCTGTGCCTGGTACATGGCTGGTAGCTCCGCGCGTAATTGGTATGCAAATGAGGCGCGGGTAAATTGCAATCAAGTGCGCGGTACATCGTTCTCTCTCCCAACTCGAGCGCCGTCTCCCAGGTGCGAGTGGAGACGGCGCACTTCGCTTTCGCCTGTTGACACTGCTGAGAATGCCGAGCTGTCGCTGAGCTTACCAACGATCTTGTGCCGTAGTCTCAAAAGGTTATGGATTTAATGAACTAACACACATGTTCCGCTCTGATAACATTTCCTTTCTCTTCCATCTCCTTTTTTGCTGAGTAGGGTTGCAATCCGGATGTGCATCTGGTTGACCTCCATGGCTTTTTGTCCTTTCTTGCTACGCCTCCTTATTCCATAACTAATTTCCCGAATTTCTTACGGGCCACGACTGCTATATGATTATGAAGCAAGCCACGGTGGAATATTCCAAAACGAGATTTGAAAACCTACCTAGCATTGTGTGCACAACCGCTCGTGCATTTTTCTTCTATAGATATTCGGCACCGCCGCTGCGGGCTATCGAAGCTGCGTCTTCGAATTTACTTGTGCTATACCTTATCGCACCGGTTCTCCGCCACAGGTGTTTCGGGGACTCCTTGCGCACCAGTGGGTAAAATGAGGGACGCCTTGCAATAATATCTGGCACTTTACGTCCAAAAACCATGATGTGGTTATGAGAGATGCCGTATAGTGGAGGGCTCCGGAAATTTCGACCACCTGGTGTTCCTTAATGTGCACTGGAATCGCACAGTTTACAAGCCTCTATAGCATTTCACCTCTAGCACCGCCGTGGCCAGGATCAAATGCGCCACCATCGGGGTCAGCAGCCGAGCACCCTAACCGCGACACCATCGTGGTGGACAGATGAGAGTCCCTTTGCAGTGGTAGGGAAGGAGGAGGGGAGCCATGAGTCAGCAGAACACGCAGAGCGAAACGGGTGCATTTTATTTCTGCCTGGCAAGGAACTCTGAAAGCAAAGCACCACGCCAGTTCCATCTCAACAGCTTGTCAATAAATTGTGCGGTCTGTAGCAACATTCAAACTGTCTTTAGCTATTCAAGTTTGCAAGTGCAGAAAAAGCTTGTCTGCGTGCATCTGTAACTGGTGCCTTTCTTGGCAAATGAACATTAACTACAAAAAAACTGTGTTCATGTCCCTTACTAATAAATTAGTTCTTTCAGATTTCAACTACTCATTTAATGGACTGTCTTTGCTGAGAGTTTACCTATATAAATACCTTGGCGTGCTTTTCACTCCTAACCTGTCCTGGTCTCACCATATTGATTACATTACTTCTAAAGCGCTAAAAAACTTTGTTACCTCCGGCGTACACTATCTGCGGCCCCTAGCGATACAAAACTAACTGTGTACAAGACCC